CACGCTCGGATGGGTTTGGGAGCTTTCCTTTCATCTGGAAACCTGAGCTCTCTTGGTGTGTGCAGACAGTGGGGTCCTGGGGGCTGCATTTCGGGTGGTCCCCACTGCTCCACGCTTCACTTCTGCAAAGTTTTGCTAAATGCTTGAGCTGCTCCATGCAGGGGAATGTCTTTTGCTTTCCCTTTAATTGCGTTTCTATTACTTTTTATTGCACATTGTGTTGCCGAAAACCATGATAGAGTGGGGAGCACGGCTGAATGGTGCTATTGGAAGCAGATTGATTGCATTTGCAAACAAATAGTTGCAGCAGATGGAGCTCAGGGTAGGCAAATATCACCTAAGTCCCAGTGTGGACTAGGGAGAAGAAATGCCTTTTTTTCTCTTTCTCAAATTCAGGTGCTCCAGCATATATGAATGCACGCATGCATGTATTTGCTTTTCAGGAGTTAACCCTCCCACCCAACTGCATCCCCACTGCAACATCTCCCAAATCGCAGCAGTGAATCAGTGCATGCCCCTGGGAGCACCCAACCCAATATTCAGGTCGGCTAAACAAGGTGTGGTGCCCCATCCCTGCAGATATGCCCAAGGCCAGACTGGATGGGGCCCTGGGCAGCCTGGTCTGGGAGGGGTGGGGAGCAGCCTATAGCAGGGATTGGAACTGGATAATCATAAAGGTTCTTTCCAACCAAAGAAGTGGGGGAAAAGAGATAAAGTCCTATTTTCCAGCTCTTTGGAAGGTTGAATCTCAGCTGGGAGAGCGAGCTCTGAAGTGCTCCTTTGTGGAAGGTGAGAAAAGCTCAAGACGGTTTTGCACATTAAGCTGCAATAGGATTACGGAGCTGAGCAAATTAAATCAATTCTGGGCTGGGTGGGGAAGTCCTGCATGGTTTGTTTAAGCTGCTGGGTTGTCTCTGAGGTACAGAACCACCCATCCACAGAATGGCTGGTGTCTGAGGTGACCCCATCCATTGGGTGGTTGGCACTTGGGGTGATCCTGTCTGCCATGTGGTTGGCATTTAGGGTGACCCTATTGATGGAGGTGTTGGCACTTGCATTGACCCCATCCCTATGGAGCATTCTTATCTGCCTGATGCAGTCCCATTCACCGGGCTCATTTGTGCCTCTTCATTGGGTGTTCTGCATGCAGCAGGAGGTGGTACTGTGTTTGGGGGTTTGTTGTGTCTTTTCCCCACCATCTCCCTGGAGGGAGAAAGCAGAGCGTGCTGGGAGAGGAGGTGTTAGCAACAATTGATGTCGGGAGGTTTGCTATTTTTCATGCCAGCTCTGGCTCGGGGATATTTTATTATGTTGTGGGGTAAGATCTGGCACTAATCCACTGAAGCATGGGAATAAAAGATGATACTGGAAGCAGGCGATCCCGAGGAGGAGGAGAATGCAGACAGATGTGCTAAGAAACGTGTGGATGCAGTACCTGGGGACTTGGTGTAGTGGGCAATATTGGTGATATTGGTGATAGGTGGACAGATGAAGTTAGAGGTCTTCTCCAACCTGAATGATTCTATGACTCTAAGAGCTGTGACTGGTCTGGGATTGAGGCGGTGAGGATGCAGCCTTCCCATGTGCAGGAAGAGCGTTTCCCACCAGCATCCTGCACCCCCAGAATCCAGCACTGCCTTTTGGCCATCCTACTTGGCTTTGCTATGGACACCTCCAGCTCAAGCAGCCTGCATGGTCGCTGCCATCAGTCCTGCTGTCAGGAGCAGCTTGCTGACACATTTATTTTTAACTCAGCCTTGGATCAAAGCGTGGAAATGCAGCAGTTTCATAGTGGGAAAAGAATTGTGGAGTCTTTAAGGTTCAGAAACAATGTTTTCGTTCCAACTTTATGTGCAAGTTAATATTATTTCAACTGTTTATAGTATCACTAAATCATGTGCTGGAATGAGTTATTAAGGTTTTATATAGAAAACACCAGAAAGGTGCTCTCAAGGACTGATAGACTGAAAATATCCCCTGGAAAATATCATAGAAATGATCAACACTGTTCCTGTGGTCTGTTCTCAGTTTAACGTGTTGAGGTAATGGCATTCAGCCACGGACAGATTGCTGACCTGCATGCAGGGTTGTGTCCATTTGAGCTTTCCAATGCTGCTGGCTTTGGCATGCTCCCTGGATGCCCCGGCTGTGGGGTCCCAGTGGGGCACACAGAATTCTGTTTCCCATCGGGGGACCCCATGTCCTTTCCCTGTGACCTCATTGGGAAAGGAATTTCGGAGCTGTTAGGGGTGGGTGTGCCCAAGGAAATCTCCCATTGCCTGCACACTCAGTGGATGCTGCGTCGCCATGGAGGAGGCGGTTTCCATGGCAACCGTTGCCATGCCGATGGCTACCAGAGAAGGACCTGAGAGCATCCTAGGGAGGTTTGCCAGCCTCTCCCTGATGCTGAGGATGGATTTATAAGGCACCCTTCCTCCCAGTGTGCAAGGCAGACGTTTGGCAGCAGGACGTGTCCAGAGATGTGCAGGGCTGTGGCAGGTCGCGTTAGTTCCTTGGTTTCCCAGCAAACAACCCATGCTGCTGTGCTGGGCATCTCAGTGGGACCCTCCTCCCAATCAGTACATTTTTTTTCTTTGTAAAATGATGTCACCTATCTTGATAAAAGGGGGAGGAGAGGGAAGGATGGGGCACCTGCTGTGCTGGGAGATAGATGCACATGGACAGCACAGAGGGACTGAAGCCTCTCTAATCTCCGTCTCAGTTCTGATGGGGCTGGGCCAAAGGGCCTGAGCTCTCTCTCACTTTCCAAGGCTCTTAGTGCAGAACTTGGCTGTGATTTCTGCTGCTGCAGCCCCTTGGCTATGGTTCCCAGCCAGTCCTGCCAAGCCAAGTGTGGAGGCATCAAGGGGACAATAGGTCGGTGTCATCATGTGTCCATGGGAGTTTCAGGCAGCTGGAAGTAAATTGGCCATTGCCTTTGCCACTGGGAGCAGGAAGACATGTGCCCCGGCATGGCACAGATGCAGCTCATCCTGAGGCAAAGGAGTAATTAGTCCCCATCACTGCTGAGTCTAACTGGGCTCAGCCCCACTGAGTGATGGAATCGGCTGTGGTGCTCTTTGTGTAGCTTGGTATTGATGCCCTTGTGCACCAATCTCCATCATCTCTGGGACTTTCCCAGTGATTCATCACCATGGGGCCACCAGGACCAAGCCCTGTTTGCAAACCGCACTGAGAACTGCCCAAGTTGCTTTGATTAAATCTACTCCCTTGCTCAGCTGAATTTTGTTCTTTGCAATGGGGCAGGCACACACTACATGTTCCCATTCAGATCTCTGCAGTGCTCCAACATCTTTTGGGCAAAATGCATCCATGGCACACACTGGCTCAGCCAAGACTCCATCCATGGGATGGATGGGTGGATGGGTGGATGGATGGGTGGATGGATGGATGGATGGATGGATGGATGGATGGATGGATGGATGATGGGATGAACGGATGGTGGGATGGATGGATGGGTGGGTGGATGGACGGTGGGATGGATGGATGGGTGGATGGGCACATGCTGGGCCTGTCCTCCTGATTTTTCATTTCCCCATCCAAGCACTGGGAACTGATGGCTGGAGCTGCCTCATCTGGTTCCAATTTAAGAGAGAAATGAACTCGGCAGAGCCAGGCCATGTGGCTCCCATTACAGAGAGGCTGTGCAGGTCAAGCAGAGAGAATACGACCTCTGGGGAGCTCAACAGGTTACCCAGCAGGGCCAAGGGGTGGGCTGGGGTGCGCCTGTGTTATGGGCTCCTGGTTTCCTGGTGAGCCTCAGTACTATTAGCATAAAAAGTTGCTAAGGTCTAGGATTAAGTGACAGCCTTAGTCTCCTAGCAGGCTTTTAACAGAAGACAGATGCAAGTTTCTGGGCATCCCTGTCTTCTTTGGAAGGCTTTAAAGTCTGGCCATGCCATACCCAACAAGCACAGGATTCAGAAGGCAAATAAAAGCAGCTCCAAATGTTTCTTCTCCCAGCTGTCAGACCTTGCAATTGAGACATCATTCATTTAGCAATGTCATTTGCACTCATCCTTTGTTTATCATTCTTTTCTGTTTTTTTACCCTCTCCTCACGGAAGCTGGAGCTCGAGGCTGTACAGATCAGCGCAATGAATATAAAATCTCTTGAGCTCATCTTGCTATCACCAACTGGGTATACCTTGATTTCCAAGGAGGGAAATGAGGGGTGAGGAGGCAGCAGGAGCCTGACCAGCAGGCTTGTCCCGCACTGAACCACTTTTACATTTCAAAACTCAATTTCTATTTCAATCTGGAATAGAAACAAAGAAACCCAAAGCTGTTACCGAGAGGTACAATCCCATAATAGCAAAGGGGGCCCTTCCACCCCTTCGCTTTAAGTGCGAGCACCAACCTGGCTTCTTACATCTTGAAACATCTGATGCTATCTTACAGATCAAAGCCTCCTGGTTTGGGTTGTAATGAAGTGTCAAACTGTTTCCTTGCAACACAAACAAGAGACACTTTGATCTGCAAACAAGATGCTTAAGAGCGCTATGAGCGAGGGCCCTTCAAGTTTTAGCAGCGCCATGGAGCAGCGGAACATCTGAAGTTTGACGTCGTGTCGTACTGTCACTTCGCGGGTTGTGGCAGCTGATAGCGTGCATTAATGCCAGAAATCACGTGAAAATCGTCCAAAAGCAAACAATAGCTGGAGAACTAAAATAAGATTTTTTCTAACACTTTCCAAAAACAATTAGTTCAGTTTTTTCCCTTTTCCAGAGAGCTCTTTCCTCAGGAAATGTTATCAGAGTCAATGTGCACTTTCCACAGAATGTCACCTTGCCTGAAAGATTTGCCACAGGGAATTATTTGGGGGGGGGGGGGAAGCGGTTTGGAGCAGCTTGACCGGAGAGCACTGCCTGCAGTCCCCTCCCTTGGTGCTCTCTTGGTTGCTCTCCTCATCCCATCCATTTAACCCCATCCTGCGGTGCCCATTGCAGTTGGTTAACGCAGCTCCTTGCTTGGCTGCAGGCTCAGCGCTGGCGCAATGAGAACTATGAGAGGCCAGTGGACCTGGAGGGCTCCGGGGATGATGATCCCTTCGGGGATGAGGAACTGGATGACATCTACTCAGGCTCCGGCTCAGGCTGTGAGTAGCTGCAGGGCTCCCAGGGGAAGGCATGGGGTCATGGGGTGGGGTTTGGTGGGACTGAAGCTGTGGGACGGGGGGAGTGGATTGCTCTGTGCCCATCTCCCCAGCAGCCCTGCTGTTCCCTCACAGCCAAAAGCAAAGGGAACAGTACCAAGTCTGGGCTCAAGTGCTTCCACTTCCCACTTTGGTCCCTGGCCCTACCAGGCAGGATAAGCCCTTTTCTAACAGCCTGTACTGGTGTTTTAAAGGTTGACCTGAGAGAGGGGCTTTGGCTAATACCTCAAAATCTTCATCCCTTGTCTTCTGCTGAACCCACGACTGCTCTGTGCTTTCTGATTTTCGGGTGTGAGGCCACATGGCCAGCCAGTCCTGGAAAATGCCCACTTCATCCTCTGCTCTTCTCTCACTCTTCCAGATTTTGAGCAGGAGTCGGGGTTGGAGACAGCAGTCAGCCTCACCACGGACACATCCATCCCTCTGCCCACCACGGTGGCCATGCTGCCCGTCACCTTGGTGCAGCCCATGGCAACTCCCTTTGAGCTGTTCCCCACAGAGGACACGTCCCCTGAGCAAACAACCAGCGTCTTGTATATCCCCAAGATAACAGAAACACCAGTGATCCCCAGCTGGAAAACGACCACCACCAGTCCCACTGCCAGTGACTCTCCCAGCACCACAGCCACCACCACCACGGCTGCCACCACCACCACAACCACCACCACCATCAGCACCACCGTGGCCAACGCCAAGCCCACCACAACCCAGAGGTTCCTGCCTCCCTTTGTCACCAAGGCAGCCACCACCCAGGCCACTACCCTGGAGACGCCCACCACCTCCATCCCCGAAACCAGTGTGCCGACAGAGGTGACCACATCACGGCTTGTCCCCTCAAGCACGGCCAAGCCGAGATCCCTGCCAAAGCCAACCACCTCCAGGACTGCAGAACCCATGGAAAAAAGCACTGCCTTGCCTTCCAGTCCCACCACGCTGCCACCCACAGAAGCCCCCCAGGTAGGAGGCAGGAGCCCTTCTCACCTGCTGAAGGGCTCACGGACTATGGGTGAAGCCAGGAGATGGCAATGAGGAGCTTTTAGAGTGGCTGAATCCTGAGCCAGCCATTCAGGTTGGGCTCTTCCCAGCTCTGCAGAGAGCAGAATGTTTTGTGGGATGGAGAGGGGAGATGGAAGGGTGGGGGCACAGAATCACAGAATCATTATGGTTGGAAAATCTCTCTTAGATCACCAAGTCCAACCTCAACCCATCCCCACCATGCCTACTAACCATGTCCCTCAGTGCCACATCTCCACATTTCTTCAGCATCTCCAGGAGTTGTGACTCCACCGCTTCTCTGGATAACCTGTTCCAACGCATCATCACTCTTTCAGAGAAGAAATTCTTCCTAATATCCAGCCTGAACCTTCACTATCCAGCACCTTCACTACCTAGAGCACAGGGATGGGGTTGATAATGCAAATGCCCCAGAGCTTCTTCCCCAAGCAATAGGAGGGCAGTTTGTGGGCAGAAATGGGCTTTCCCCTGGGTTCAGTTGCTGAGCTCACTGTCCTGCAGCCCGGCTCACAGCCTGGAACTGGCAGACCCAGCCACTCTGCAGTTCCCACTTGAGCACTTGCAGCCCATCGGGCTTCTAGGGTGGGGGATTTAATCCACTGCTCCATCTCTCATTCAGAGCCCCTAAGGGGCCTTTTGAAAACCGCTTTGACTGAAAGGTGGAGTGATTTGTCTAAACTAGTCCCTCTTTTCCGGGTATATATATATGTGAGTAGCGCTCCGGGCTCCTGCTGACCTTCAATTAATCTCTGTCACAAATCCACGTGCTTGTGGAAGCAGTGAGCCGTGCTCTGTGCCAGGGGCTCTGTGACATGGAGAGGTTTCCATCTCATCCGCCCTGGTTTCATCCCCAAACTGCTTATTGCTCATCCCCATTTGTAATGGACTGAGGGAGCCATTTGTCCCACAGAGGAGATGTTCTGGGGGAGCTTTGCTTAGGGATGCTCTGTGGGATCAGCTCAGCATGCAGCAGGGTGAGAAGGCAGGTCAGGATGGACTTGTCCCCAAGGATGCTGTGAGTGTAGGGATGTGCAGGAGGCAATGTATAGATGAGGATTGGGCTGGAGGACAGCAGGGTGATGGGACCCTCCTTAGATCTCCATATGAGGCCAGAGGTGGGAGCTTGTGTGTTTCAAGGGCACCTGGATGGGGACTGGCCAGAATGGTCCTGCTTGGCTAAAGAGACCTTAGCTTTTAGGTGACAGTCACGATGTGGGATTGTACTGCTCTCTGCAATACAGCCATCCACTTTGGTGACACAGGGAAGGGACACTCCAACTTTAACCCTCATGTTCCCCACCATGGTATCACATGCCCTTCCTCCAGCCACACAGGTGCTGCTGGAGACACGAACCACCTGTAAGTCCTTGTTCCCTGCTCCACCTTGTCCTTTCCTCCAGGTGGAGCCAGGGGAGTTGACGACGGTCCTCGACAGTGACCTGGAAGTCCCAACCAGTAATGGCCCCAGCGGGGACTTCGAGATCCAGGAGGAGGAGGAAACAACTCGTCCTGAGCTGAGCAATGAGGTGGTGGCAGTGGTGACACCACCAGCAGCACCAGGGCTGGGCAAGAATGCAGAGCCGGGGCTCATTGACAACACGATAGAGTCGGGCAGCTCAGCTGCTCAGCTCCCCCAGAAGAACATCCTGGAGAGGAAGGAAGTGTTGATAGGTGAGAGAGGAGCACATGGGTTGGTGGGAGGATGGAGGGCTTGGCCTTCAGCAAGGTGCTGGGGTGGTGCTGGGGCACACAACCTCACCCGTCCCAATAGATGGGTCCTGTCTATCCTTCACAGTAACCAGCACACTGTTGCAGCTCCTTGAATCACACAAATTGCACGAGGCCACCACCCTCACGTTCAGTTTTAAGCATGAATTCAGCTCATAAAGCAAAGAAACAAGCGGAACCCAGCCCAATTCCCCTCCTGACAGCTCTGCTGCTTTCTGTTCCAGCTGTGATCGTCGGTGGTGTGGTGGGAGCCCTCTTTGCTGCCTTCCTTGTCATGCTGCTCATCTACCGGATGAAGAAGAAGGACGAGGGCAGCTATACATTGGAGGAACCCAAACAAGCCAACGTGACCTACCAGAAGCCGGACAAGCAGGAGGAGTTCTACGCGTAGGACAAGAGCCTGGCATGCCTCACCTCCCTGCTCCTGCTCCAAACTCTCCCTCCTCTCCTCCATCCCGTCTCTTTATCTTTCTTCTCTTTTGGATCAGACTGTGAATTTAAAAAGCAAAAAAAAACAAACAAAAAAACACAAAAGGAGAAACCGTACCTTTGGCACGAGGAGATGCCATGTTGCGGATGGCGGATGGAGCTCACGGGGCTTTTCCCACCTCCTGGTGGACTCTGGGATCCGGACACCTTGTACCAGCCCTAGGGTTTGGATTTATCTTTTTTTTTTTTTTTTTTTTTTTTCCTTTTGGAAAAAAAGGGGGTTTTTTTTTTCTCTTTCTTTTTTTTTTTTTTTTCCTCGTTTTTATTTTTTTAATGGAGCTGGTTACTTTGCGGGAATTCCTTTTTGCTCCTAGCTTCTGTTTGAAAAGAGGATGTAACTCTCAGATATGCTTTGAACCTTGAAAAAGCACAAGGGGCTGGAATACCTTGTGCCCTGGGATTTGCTCTTGGAATGAGGGAACAAAACCAAACAAAACCACGGCCTTCCCATCTGGAGAATTCATGGAGCACCAACAAGCCGTGTTTGGGTTCCTCATGTGGATCCACTCTGGCCACCAGCACCCTTTGCTGCATTGCTGTGCACAGCCAGGGACCCGATGTCCCTAGAACCCATGTGGTGTTGGCGTGGTGTGGAGCAGGGCCTGTGCTTTCGCTGGGTTTTCACTGTGACCAATAAAGCTCAGCTTGCGCAGCCCCTCTGGCAGCACTGGTTTTCAAATGGTGTGGAATGGCCCTTCGTGGGGAGCTGGAATGGGGTGGGAATGCAAACTTGTTTGGCTGGGGTGGTGTCCTGGAGCTCAGCAAGGGAAGAAAGGAGAAACAGAGGCACTAAATGACAGGAGTCAAGCAGGGGGACCCAATGACAGGAACACAGAGCTGTTTGAGGGCGTCTTGGAGCAGAGTAGATCATCTGCATGGCTTTGGTGAGCCCCAGTGCTGAGCATTTCTATTCCTTTTGTTGAATTTTAATTCCCGTGGGGATCAGCTCAGGGCAGCCTACAAGCAAAGAGCCCAGGAGCTGTTGTCAACCACGCAATGCTCTCCCTTCTGTCTGTCCCCAACATGCAGAGCCCAACCGTGCCTTCGTGAAGGGCCGGATCTTGGAGTGAGCTCCCTGCACAGAAAAGTCAATTAGATATTTCAATTAGTTGGCTTTTAATTAGCTGAAGCACTGCTTGCCGTGCAGCTGAGGATCTTTGTTTTAACAGTGGCTGTGATCTCAGCAGTGTCCTGTGGAGATGTTGGCTTTGCTCTTAGAGCAGTTTAAACAGGAGAACAACACAAATATCACTTTGTCCAACTTTGTTGCACCACGAATTGACCTGCATGGGCACAGTAACATTTTGTCCCCTCCAGGACGTGAGTGCATACAGGGATTTATCACCCTGCTGGAGGCTGCAAGACAGCAGAGCTCCTTTTTGTGTTGGGAATTTGAGAGTCTGAATGCATGTGTGAATATATATATACATATATATACATATACACACACCCACATACATATACAGTTTGATAAATATACATGTAATGTGAAATAAAACCCCTGTTAATCGTCATTGCACTGCATACAGCAGCTGAGCTGGGCCTGGTGGTTGTGAAGAGCTGAGGTTTGCACATCAGCATTCAGTCCCTGAGCTCACTGATGGTTTTATTTCACTGTAAGGAGCACAGCCCAGCTCTAACAATCCCAATTTTAGAGATGTCAGCCTCAAAACAGTCGTTGTTTTTGTTCTCTGTGTTCTGCTGGCTGCGTTGAATGGGATGCTGAAGGTGCTGGGGTACGTGTCTGCATATACACAGCCATTCTGAATTCTGTCATCATGAGGATGAGGATGCTCTGAAGGTGACCACGTGGCTGAGGAAGGCTGGTGTTGGCCCCAAGGGCCGCTTCCAAGCTGCTCAAAGAGCTGCTTAATGGCTTTGTGTTTCTGCTCCCAAAGGCCCCCGGCTGTTGGTGCACGGCAGAAATGGAACCTCCATGGTAGCACGAGTTGGGTATGGCAGGCATCCAGGCCGCCCAAAATCACTGTCTTTTGGAATAACGTGGACTTAATCTTTTGAGCTTACATTAAGGGAAAAAAAGTCAACCCTTCCAGCTTAATCTTTTAAATGCTGCTTTTCTTAGCTGCTTCCCTAATCTTCTTCATTCCATTTTTTTCCCCTCTAATAGTCTGAACTTCTATAATACAATTTTTTATTCATTCAAGCTTAACCTCGGTTCGCTCAGCTGGTGTTAAGTTGTAATCCTGGCACTTAAATCCGTGACAGTTCCAGAAGTGAGGAAGGCTGGCAGCAGGGAGAGGAGCTGGGCAGATCTTCCTCATACAGCCATTAAAAGCAGGAGATCACAGGCCAAAAGGAAGGTGAAGCCAATTAAATGCATAATTAGAATTGACTAGGCTTCGTTCGTTATCCTCTTCTCCTACATGGTTGCTCAGAAACTGCAGAGATGTGGTCATAAGGAGGGCTGCTCTGGGGGTGGAGATGAGTCTGGGTGGGATGGAGCTGACCATGAGGAAGGTTCAGCTCCAAAGAAATGCAGACGCCATCAGTTCAGTGTCATGGGAAAGGACAAAAACCGACGGTGCTCTGAGGATGCAAGCAGCCCTGTTGGTGTAGAAAGGCTTTTCCTTCTGCTTCCCCATGTCTTTGATGGAAGAGCCTTTGCTGTGCATGCCTCTGTATTTTAGGAGAGCAACGGGACACAGTTGGCATCAGCCAGTGCCAAGACTCAGCCAGGCTGGGTTTTTCATGGCAGGGATTGGGTCACCCCTTTCCTCTGAAATCTCTCATTTCAGACCTTTCAAGAATAAGCAGCAGGACTTGACACAAATTTCCCATTCCCTCCCCATTTTGCCCATTGGGTGGCAAAATCCCCCCTCTTCACTCCATGCAAACCTTGGCTCCTGCTCCCAAGAGTTATCCGACCTCTACCAAGAGCCACCAGCACAGAGGCTATAATGGGAGCAAACCCATCACCGAGCAAACTGATGGATTCTTGTGTTCCTTTCCTCTTTGTAGTTACAACCACATCTGGGTTTGGAGCTTTCCATGGGGCTCTGCCAGCTCCCAGAGCGACGCTGACAATTCACAACTGAAATTTTCACTCAAGGCGGTGGGGATGTCTGTGGCATGTGTGTATGTATGTATATATATGTGTATGTAATTAATATATATGTATATATGTATATACGTGTGTGTGCAACGCATGCACGCGTACACAGCTTCAATGCAAACTGCGCCTGACAGGGAAGGGCTGCTGGGGGCTCCTTCCTTCACCACGGCTATGGGAGCAAGGAGCTGGTCCTGCCTCCCCAGCTTCCCCAAGGCTGAGGCAAGGAGCCCTGCTGCCTCCTGCCCCTTTCCATGGCCGGAGCTGAAACAGAGCCCAAAACCCACGATGAGACCCCCAAACCCACGTGGCTCTGCTTCCCCCCACGTACTGTGCCTGCAGCTCCACGGCCATACCCACACTCCGTCCCTATAGAGAAGTCTCAGTCTGGAGTTACCAGTAATTTTTTTTTTTTTTTTTAATTAAATAAAATTTTATTATTATTATTATTATTTTCTGAAAATTCACCCTAGGAGACGCCCATGCAATGCCCAGATTTATCCCCCCCACCTCGCAAACAGCTCCATCACTGCATTTCCAAAGACCTCAGGGGTACCAGCGACCCTCTGGGTGTTGAGCACCCCCTGGTCTAAGTCATAAATGTACAGCTGACAATCAAAACTGACAGAAATGCTGACTTTAGAAATAAATGTATCCATTGCAGTTTGATAGAACTTTTTAAAATCACATGCTTGTCTCTCACGAGTGCTCACCACCAGGATAAATCACCACCCATTGGTCCTTCTGTAAATAAACATGAAACATCCTTGTATAAATTAAAAAGAAAAAAAGAAAAAAAAATAATTTAAGAAAATCCACTGATATATGTCCAAAAAATTATCCCTTTCCAGAAGATTTAAATAATTTGAAGAAAAAGGAAAACCCAACGATGTGTGAGCTCCACTTCACGTTTTCTCTGGAGCTGATTTAAATTCCCAATAGGAGAACAAAAACTCTTTAAGGGTAGAAGGAACTACGAGTGTTTTACCTTACAATAAACATGGGAGGGGAAAAGAAAAATGCATGTAAATATTTTTAATAGGAAACATATCTTAAACAGAACCTTTTTTTGTATGTACATAACTCTTCTAGAGTTTAGTACTTAAATTGCTTCATAGTGTCTGTTTAAAAAATGAAAAATAAAATAAAATGTTTGTTAATTGTTTTTGTTCTTACTCAATGGCCAAAACTTTAAAAATAATAATAAAAAAAAAAAAAGACTATAAAAAATAATCTTTGCCAATGGATCTAGCACTGTAATGGTACTGTCTATTTTTTTTAATTATTTCTGTGCTGTGCCCATTTATAAAAGGAAAAAAAATAAAAATAAAGTCATTTAAACATTGCCTGCCCAGGGCTTCGCCTGCTTTCTTGCTGCCACAGGTTTTGGCAATGCCAGTGTGAGATGCAAGGGGAGAAGATGTCACTTGTTCGGGTGTGGTAGTGGCAGCTGAGGGATGGAAGCTAATTAATGGTCTCCATGGCAATGCCATAGAGCTGCTGATGAGCCACACCACCCTGATGCGTGTGACCAGGGTGCAGAGAGGTGTGGGCCACCATGTCCCCAATATGGACTCGATGATCTCTGAAGGGTTGGATCTTCCAACCCCTGCAATTCTGTGATTCTGTGATGCTCAAGTGTTGCCATGTCCACACGTGTCTCCAGCAAGTGGCTGGGCACTGGGCACTGCTCAGTAACTGTGAGTAACTCATTATAAATCTCCACGATGACTGCAGAGTCCAAAATTAATGCCTTATTTGATGCCTCACAAAGTATCGGACCAGGAAAACTGATTCCTCCATGGTTCAGAAGCAAAGGCACAGGAACAGCATCAACGTTTAGCTGGGCGCCCAGTGCTGAACACTTCATGGGGCACAGCTGGGAAAGATGAAGATGGATGAAGTCCTTTGAGATGGAAGGGGGTGAGGAAGGTGGACATGGCCAGATGGCAATGGTGAAGCTCCTTCTACCTGAGCTGCTGCTGCCATGCCAGGAAGAAATGCATTGGCAGAGTCTGCCCAAGAAAGTGGCAGTGTTACCATCCCTGGAGGTGGTGAAGAGCTGTGGAGATGCAGCAGTGAAGGCTGTGCTCAGTGGGCATGGTGGGGATGGGCTGGGGAGGGATTTGGTGATCTTAAAGGTCCTCTCCAACCTTAATGAATCTCTAAGGTCTTCAGATATGAACCCTGAATGGGAATGAGGGGGACAAGATTATCATACCATCGTGGGCAATCAAAGCCCTCAGTGCCTGGGAAGATCCTTGTATCTATGCTTCAAAAACATGTTGCAAAAGATGCCCATTTTAGTACTAACAGGTTCCAGATGGAATGGAACATTCTCCCAGCTTTCAAAGTAAAGGATTAAAGAGCAGCAAACCAAAGGGTTAGCGCTGGGCTTGGCTTTATGGGCATTTTGGTAATGTGGGCTCTCACAACTGGCTTGCCCAAATGTCTGGAAAAAGGAATTGAAAGAAATGGGATAATTTGTGTTGAAGAAGAGAACAATGAGAAATTCAGCAAGGACGAATAGGAGCAGCTCCCACATCTCTTCCCATAGAGGTGAAGCAGAAAGGCAGTAAGGCCAA